CATCGGATCATCATCGCATCCTGTCGTCTTTACCACCAGAAGATGCCCGGCGTCCACCTCAGACCTCCTGTGCTGTCACCCCCAACTGAGCCCCCGTCCCCTTCCACCTCTTAGCCTCACCCTGGGACCCCCCAGTCTTTTCTACCCAGAGCCCAAATACATCCATTCAAAACCAAGTTAGCTCTCTGCCCGTCACCCTCCGGTCGTTCCCAGTCTCTCTCAGGTGGAAGCCAGCGTCCTCACGGCGCCCTTCCGAGGTCTCCCAGGTCCGCCCCTGCTGCTGTGTGTCTGCAGCACGTTCCCGTCCTCACTCAGCTGCTTCAGTCACACCAGCCTCCTCCCCAGTCTTCCCACTCGAGGCTGGTGAACTTGGTTTTCTTTCTCCTGGAACATTCTTACCTCAGACCTCCGCAGGGCTGCTCCCAGGCTCACGCTCGCCCGTCCCGTCCCTCCCTCTCCCCGCCCTGCTTTGTTCTGCTCAGCACCTGGCAGCGTCTGGCTGTGATACACTTACCTGTTAGTTTGCTCATTATCCTCTCTCTCCAGAGCAGCCTCAATTCCATGACGGCGGGAACCCTCTCTTGTTCAGGGCGTATCCCCAGCACCGGGGGCATTGTGGGTGCTCATTAAATACTTGTTTTCCGAGCGAGGGAGTAAAGGGAATGAGTGAATGGATGGCCCGGAAGCCAGCGGCCTTTTCCGTTCTCGCTCACTGCATATTCCTTTGGCGTCAGGTGCGTGGTGTTCATCGGCGTCAGCGGGTTCTGCTGTGTGTGCAGGAGAGAGCACCTGTGTACTTAGAGATGGCTGAGAGTGGACAGTTAGCAGTTTGCCTCTGTCGTCTGGTCACTTGTCCCTAGGTGACAAACAGACCTTGTACCTAGTAGGTTCTTAGATGTAGTTTAGCATTAGTTTGCAGGTATCTTTAGAGTTTAGCAGTCTCCTGGAGATAATGGAACAACCCAGAAAGTGATTGTTCTTTTTTAGCATTCACTGTCAGTTAATGTTTTGCTACAGTTTGGGTTTTACTGTGTGATAGAACTAAATCCTGTGATTCTCGTTCTTTGTAGAGAAAAAAA